CGGTACCGCTTGGTACTGAACGGTACTGGAACTCAGTATTGCTCGATACCGAGCGGTACTGGAACTCGGTACCGCTCAGTATTGGAACACGGTACCGCTCGGTACTGTAACTCGGTATTACTCGGTACCGAGCGGTACTGGAACTCGGTACTGCTCGGTATTGGAACTCAGCACCGCTCGGTATTGGAACTTAATATTGCTCGGTATTGGAACTCAGTATCGCTTGGTACTATAACTCGGTATTGCTCGGTACCATTCGATATTGCTCGGTACCACTCGGTATTGCTCGGTACCACTAGGTATTGCTCGGTATAGAGGGGTACCGAATGGTACTAAGCGGGACCGAGAAGCTAAAACATACTCGGTACCACTCGGTATCTTTCCATAAAAACAACTTTAAAAATAAAAAGCACTTCAAAATTACTCTTACAAAAAAAATTTGTTCCGGGGGCGCTGCCCCCTGAAACCCCTGTAGGGGCGCTGCCCCTTGACCCCGCAACCTAACCGGGCAGGTCGAACCTCACCAGGGGGTAGCGCCCCCTTGGACCCCCGACAGAGTCGCAACATATCTACACTTTCACTTAAATTTTTTCATGTTTCAAATTCATATGTTTTAATTTGTATAGATCTTTTGTAGGATAATGAGATCTAGTGGAGTAGGAATTGATTCTGATGATGGTCCATCAGAAATTAATATTGAAGATAACAAACCTCAATGGGGTTATGTTACAAAAATAAGTAAAACATCAGAAGGCGGAGGCAATATTGCATTCAAATGCAATTTTTGTAATGCAACATACAAAGGATTATATTATAGAGTGAAAACTCATTTGTTGAAGATTAGTGGTCATGGAATCAAAGTTAGCCCGAAGATAAGCTCATCACAAATGGCTAAATTACAAAGAAAATCAGTGAAGCTGAGCAAAGGAGTAAAAAAGAGCCTCCAAAACATATTCCACTTACAAGCACTCATGCTTCATATCCTTCATCATCTTCTTCAATTAGATGTGATGACAGTACTGTAAACAAAGGGCCTTTTCAAATGGAGGGATTTGAACCAAAAAGAAGAAAACATGTTGTAGATAGTGCTTTGGAGAAAGTATTTAATTTACAAATGAGAGAACAACTAGACGGGAAAATAGCTAGAATGTTTTACTCAGCTGGACTTCTTTTCAACCTAGCAAGGATTCCAAATTACAAGAATACCTTTACATACGCATGCAATAACAATCTTGCAGGATACATGCCACCAGGATATAATGTCATTAGAATGAAGTTGTTGCAAAGAGAGATGGATAATATTGAGAAGTTGCTCGAGCCTGCTAGAGGAGTTTGGAAGGAAGGAGTTACTTTGGTTTCTGATGGGTGGACAGATCCACAAAGAAGACCACTTATTAACTTCATGGCTGTAACAGAGAGATATCCTATGTTTATCAAAGCTGTAAACTATGAAGGACAGTACAAGGATAAGTTCTTCATTTCTAATTTAATCAAAGAAGTTATCATGATGGTGGGGCCTTCAAACATCATTCAGGTCATTACTGATAATGCACCTATTTGTAGAGCTGCAGGCCTACTTGTAGAGCAAGCATATCCTCATATTTTCGGAACACCATGTGTTGTGCATATACTTAATCTTGCTTTGAAGAACATTTGTGCAGCTAAGAATACCGAGGCAAATGAAATCACCTATAATGAATGCCATTGGATCATAGTGAATGCTAGAGATTCAATTGTAATTAGGAATTTTATTATGAATCACTCGATGAGACTCTCTATGTTCAATGATTTCTCTAATTTAAAGATGCTTGCAGTTGCTAAAACTCGATTTGCCTCAGTTATAGTGATGTTGAGAAGGTTCAAAAAAATAAAAAATGCTCTTCAAGCTATGATGATCAGTGACAAATTATCATGTTATAGAGAAGATGATGTTAGAAAGGCTATGTATGTAAAAGAGAAGCTTGTAGATGATTTATGGTGGGATGAGATTGAATAGATCATAAATTTTACAGACCCAATTTATGAGATGTTGAGAGTAGCTGATACGGATAAGTCTTGTTTACATCTCATTTATGAGATGTGGGATTCAATGCTAGCCAAATTAAAAGAAATTATATATAGACATGAGAGAAAGTCACTTCATGAAGACTCAAGCTTCTGTGATGTTATTTATGCTATTTTAAAAGATAGGTGGAGCAAAAGTAATACACCTTTACATTGCTTGGCTCACTCACTAAATCCCAGGTAAATTCCAACATTTTTTCATTATGAATTCACAATTTATTGTTTTGTAATTTTATCATTTTTTTCATTATTTTATTTTAATGTTATTTGAAGATATTCAACAAAAAAATGGCTTCAAGAGGATCCTCAAAGAGTTTCTCCACAGAAAGATTTAGAAATTTCAAATATGAGGAAGACATGTTTGAAGCATTATTTTCCAAATGAGGAGGAGAGAAGAAGTGTCAATATTGAGCTTGCTAAATTTTTTGGTTATTTAGAGGACTTTGGTGACCAAGAGTCATTGCGTGATAGGTCGAGAATTGATCCGAAAATGTAGTGGATTATACAAGGAGCTTCAGCACCTCTACTTCAAACAATCGCCATAAAATTGCTTGACCAAGTTTCATCCTCATCCTGTTGTGAAAGAAATTGGAGCACATACTCATTCATCCAATCAATGAAGAGAAATAAAATTACTCCATAACGGGCTAAAGATTTAGTTTATGTGCATACAAACCTTCGGCTTCTCTCAAGGAAAACTCCAACTTATATGGAGGGAGACAACAGGATGTGGGATGTTGCTGGGGATGGATTTGAATCTCTTGAGGATATGGGAATATTAGAAATTGCTAATCTTTCACTTGATGAGCCTGAATTAGAAGCTATGATATTTATTGAAGATGATATAGAAACTCAAAGACAAACCACTGAAGAAGCTAATCCTATTATTCCTTCTATTGATTAGTTGAAATTTCATGTGCTGAACAATTTATCTTCTTGCTTTTGTTGTTGTACTAGACATTTAAATATTTAATGCTTATTTTTATTCCAATTTTTTTATCATTTCAAATATTACACTTTGATTACTTTCTTAAATTTTATGTAAAAATTTATATATTATAATGTTGTATCTGCGCCGTATCCATATCCTGTATTTTTAAGAATTGGCGTGTCCCGTATCCGTATCGTGTCGTATCCGTATCGCCGTATCCGTATCGGTGCAACATAGGGAAGAATGTGAAACACCGAAATCAATAAGCACTCTAACAGAATTATCATAAATACTAATCATACATGTCACCACTTCTAAAGACTCCTAACTACTTGAGATGTCAAAGAAAATAATTGTGCAGGTATTGCACAAAAGAAAATAATTGGTCCTTGTGGAAGGCGCTTATAAAACTCTTCAATGCCTCAAAGGAACTCCTACAAAAGTAACCTTAATAAAGAGAAATAAAAAACTCAGTCCCAAAAGCATACCAAAATATTGCTTGGTAGGATTGTTATAGATAGAAAATCTACTATTGATTACTGTAATTTACTGCGTGAATTCTAATCAGTTGGAGAAGCAAGAAACAATCAATAATCAACCAATCGACTGCTAAAACTAAATTTCGGGCAATGGCCTAAAGAATATGTAAACTAAAATAAATTAAAATTATCCTAAATGACTTAATAAAATGGGAAGATGTTACGAAGTTACACTACAACAATGAATTAGACATCAATCTGACACATGACCAAGTTCAACATGACCAAATTTAAAACAAAAATTGATCGACACTTCATCAAAGTTAAACAAGAAAGTGGGTTGATATGCATATCATGTCTAAATAAAAAAGCAATTTGTTAATATCCGAACCAAAGAACTACCAAGCTCGACATTCCTAAATATGAACTCTAGGTTAAGGATGAAAATATCTACTCTACAACTTGAGTAGTATTGGCAATTTATCCCTAAATGTCAATTTAGGAATCTATGGGATTTGCAAGCTGGCAGTGCAATGTGGTGATTTATGGGTGTTGGCAAAAATACCCCTCAGATTTTCGTGAAATTAATGCTTGCAAGCTATATAGCATATCTTTCTATTTCTGTAGATGCAGACATAGAAATATGCTTACAAACTCATATATTCTATCCTAGGAATAGTGCATCAGTATGTAAATAATATTTACTATGAAGAAATTATGTAGATAACATAGAATTTTGCTATATAAATTGGAGTGTAAGGGCATCAATGCAAAACATACATATTTTAAATCATTCATCCCCTCTTCATGATAACAAAGCTTTGGGAAGAAAGATTTCTGAGTGTTATCTCTTGGAGTCCAAAACCAAAGGCTGCTTCTAGCACTGCTTGAATAAATACGAGAAATCAACGAATTATTGCCAACTGCAATTCATATTGCATCAGAAAAAATTAGAAGGAAGGTAGGTCCAGGAATATTGGCAAGTAATCCATCTGAATTAGCATGAATTCTTATAGGACTGCAGCTTCAAGGAAAGTGGGGTGTTCAGACATTTAACCTTGAAATTCTTCCTCACAATTCCAACTTCAGTAGAATTCCGAGGCAAAGTACAAACATATTTCATTATTAATTCAACTAAGTTCTGATATGGATTTATCATACTTGATCATTGCCAAATAATTGAAGCATTACCGGAAACAATATAAGTTCTTTACAAAAATGAAAGTAAAAATGGAATTCATTAAACAAAAAAGAATGTTGACTGCGTGAAATTTCATTATCAATAGAACAGAAGTAAAGAGTCCTTAGATGCATGAGAATATAAAAACAAAACAATAATAAATTGCAAATGCAAGACAAAATATTAATGATAACATGGAAAAAATTGTATTGGGGAAAAAAGCAGATTTAACAACTAAAACAACTGAAAGTATAAAAAGCAAAAATGCACTTTCTTAGATTATGATTCTAGATAAACATAAATTTTGAACTTAGAATGAGTCCAACTTCCTAGAATAGCTGTATACCTTCCAGAAAATTGGAAGCATAGAAAGTCTTGGATGGTCTGGAAGCTCAAATCAGGTTGATAAGAAAAGATCTAAAAGGAAAAGAAATAAAATTATAAAATAGAAATTCCAACCTGTTCACCAGCATAAAGAAAGGCTACATACGGCATTCATTAATGGTTTAAAAGCATCTTCAGGTAGATAAGCCAAAGTTGTTCCACTGTCAATTATTGTTCCTCTCATGTCCCCTGTTTGGAATATATCAGTTGAAAGTTTCAGGGATGTCCCGGCAACTCCAATTGATTTCATAGTAACATGGTAATGTGACCTACAATAGTGAAATAACAAACAACTTAAATGACATTGTAATGTGCCTAAAAAGTGAATAATAAACAAGTTAAACCACACCTGCCAATAAGTAAGAGTAAATATCTATGTACTTTGGGTTTTTTAATGAGGCAACAAATATCATTTCAGGATCAGAATATCCCACATTAAACTTGTTCCTATCACAAATATATACAATAAAGGTATTGGATGACGGGGCACGTTCTTTAGATATATTTATTATGGAGATGTCCAAAAATAATGAAAGCTAAATTTGACAAATACTAGGGTGAGAACAATATTTTAATGGCCTTTGGTGCTATCTTGGACCCGAGAATGAAATTTGTTGTCGTAGAATTTACATTTCCAATGATCTATGAAAGAGATGAAAGCATACAAAACATCTCATATGTCCGCATAATACTGTTTGAGTTATACGAAGAATATGAAACATGTTTTGAAGAAGAGATAAAATGTGCAGGTGGTAAATTCAAAGCGGGAAGATCAAGTGCTGCAGGACAAGTAATAGTTCAAAAAGCACTCAAGAGTTAGGGGCAAACAAGTATAGTGGTTGGCTAGATTTTACAACTTATGTTTCGGAGAGAATAGCTAAAAAACCTATGAGGTCTGATTAAGATAAATATCTTGATGATGGTATAGAAGTTTGTCATGTAGGACGCCCCTTCGATGTTATTGCGTGGTGGAAGAACAACCAAATGAAGTATCACATTTTATCAAGAATGGTTGTTGATATCCTATCAATTCTAATTAGTACAGTTGTATCTAAATCTTCATTTAGCGCAAAAGAGAGAGTTGTTGACACCTACCATTTGAAATTGAGTATTGAGACCGTTCAAGCTCTCATATGCGAATCAAATTGGGTTCATTCACACTACAATCTAAAAGGAAGGATGAAGGTAATGATTTGCTATAGTTTTTCTATTCAAACTTTCTCATTTTGTAATACTTATAATATAATTTCATGTAAATTGCTAGCAGGAAGAGGAGGACAATGACGAAGTGGAGATAGTATTAACTCTAAGTTAGAAGCATTTTGAAAGGTAGAAGATTCCTCTACATATTCTTTCTATTAACATTTAAAACAAGAGTTCTGACTTTTATTTTTATCATTTGAAAATTGATTATTTGAAGGTGCTTGTAACCAAATCTACAGAAGCGCCAAGGCCCTCAAGCACAAAACCCCTAGGAGAGCCAAAATCCCAAGTGAAGGAAAATCTCTGCTTAAACTAACTCGCTTCTCTATTCTCTATTGAGTCGCATGAGCAAGTTGGAAATTTTCAAATTAAGCCGTTTATTAAATATAATTTTCAAATAATTATATTTTTTTACATCTCCAACAGGACTTAATTTTAACACTATTAAGTCCAACATCCATTAGTTTGGATGGTGGGACTATCTTCATTCCTCTTTAAAGAGTTGAGAGAGCAAAATATTCATTTAACATAGTTTGGGACTGCTTAGGTCCTTCTAGAGAGTTAAGAGACCATTTTGATTATTTTCTCATATGTATTTAACTGGTGAGTTTAGGTGTATACCCCCTATAACTGGTGAGTCTAGGTGTGTACCCCTGCAAAGACAAAGTCTAGCATAAGATGAGACCCACCTATAGCAATGTTATGTTGAGCTAATATTACTAGCAAAATTGACAAGATGGTGAATCCGCTTACATTGGATTCTATCAACAAAAGGGTACCCTCACATAGCACGCTCACTTATTAACCATCGAGTTAGTTGAAAACAAGATTCAATGCTGGGAGATTATCGAGTCCAGGACAAAGAATATTTTTGAAACAATTTCCTCGTATCTCTCACTCCTACACTAACTCACCAAGTCATTCTCTACTGAGGTTATTCTCCCGTTGTGGGTTCCAAAAATTTGAGCCCCGGCCTCTCTCTTGCTTTTCGAGGGAGTTTTAACGGATTAAGTTCCCGGGTAAATTTTGGAAAGGCAGATGGGTTTGTAGATAAGACACTACCCAGAGATTTTGCCCTCATTTTTCAACGGACTTTATGATCTGAGTTTTGATTTCCTATAGGCGCACCATAGTTAATTACCCCTCCCAATAATGAGAGAGAAATTTCAATTAAGGCTATTCGTCGATTAGATACATTCTATCCATAGGTACGTAGTACCGAGCGTGTAGTAGCAGCATGGATTTGTATTTGAAAACTTGATATTTAAAATTAGAAATTTCACCATCTTGCACTTAAATGAAGGAAGACTTCTCTTTACTATTGGGAAGAAAATAACTTATTGGGATATGGATTAACTTGAGTTGGAGGCGATCTTCTCAGTAAGAGAGTTCATTCAAAGTTGGATGATGGATAGCAAAGGAGTAATAATTGAAGGTGATAATCTCAATATTATCAACTTCATTAAAGATTCAATGAATAAATCAAAGTGGCAAATGGAGAATTGCTTGGCAAAGGAGTTATTCTTTATAAATGATTTTAATAAGGTGATTTTCCATCATGTTAATAGAGAATTTAACAAAGTAGCTGAATTATGTGCTACTTTGGCTTTAGAATGTATTTCTTTTGTTGATAGCTTTTCTTTTAGGAACATTCCTTCTTTGCTTAGTTTGTTAAAGAATGAATGTGATCATTTTATTACTTGTAATTAGCTCTTTTATCTAATGCAATTTGTACTTTCAAAAAAAAAAGAGTTAGATATAAAGGGCTGAAATTGTAAAACCCGAAAAATATCGATCGTAGGAGTCACACGCATTTCGATGCATCGTGATAAAATTAGGTAAAATTTTAAAGTAATCGGATTTCGACGAAAATAATTTTATAAAATAGTACATAAAATTTCTAGCAAATTGGTATAAAGGACCTATAGTGAATTTTGCTTAGTTTGGAAATTAAAAAATCATAGAAGTTTTTAAAATTTTCAAATATGACTAAAATGCCCTTCTATTTCTTCATGTACTTTTATTATTACTTGAGGGTATTTAGGACATTATGCAATTAACCATAGCTATCCACTCTTAAGGGGACCAAAATCCATGCGGTCCCCATTCGTTTCTTGCAGCCGAACCGAAGGGAGAGGGAGGCGGAGAGAGGGGCGACAGGAGCGAGGCCACGGCGGCTCCGACAACAGTTTCCGGTGGCCGGACTTGAGGAAAAGTGAAGAGCAAGGCAAGAGAAGATTAAGGTAAGCATTAGATTTAGGATTTCTCATTTCTCTTTCATGATTTTCCAAGAGAGAAAAATTAAGGGTTTTTCATTGACTTAGATTTTCTTTAGGAAATGAAAAGGAGATTTTTAGGGAAGGCAAGAGGGATAATTTTAAACATAGAAATGAGATTTTTCTCCAAACATTTTGGATTTTGAAAAATAGGGTTTCTTCCAGTGTTCTTTTTCTTTCAAAATACTTTTGTAAAAGTTAATCCTAATGACATTAGAAAACTTCTTATGAAAGTTAATTAAATTTTTATGAAACATTTCAAGTCCCAAAAATCAGGGTTTTTCCTAATCATGAAATTTTTAAGTGTTATTATTTCAAATAGACTTAGAAAGATTTTTGAAGGTGAGAATTAGGGTTTTTTGTACAAAATTTTATTTTTTGTAATTTTAATTTAAATAAATCCAAAATTTCTCGTATTTTAATTAATAATTAAGTGTCTGGCAGGTTTTCTTATGCATATATTATGAAATTAACAAAAAGAGGGTTCCCAAAAATTAGGGTTTTGAAGAAATCCGAAATTAAAAAGTAAATTTAATTAATTTTTAAATGGTAAAGGATTAATTTAGGAAATTTAAGAAAACTTATGTGCATGTTCTTATGATTTAGGGATTTAGGAAGTTTATGCAATGGAAGCATGTGACATTAAATGTTAAGTTATGTTATACTTTTTTTTTAGATATTGGAAGTGGTAGAGGAAAGATTTTGATAGGGCAAACAGCAAATTGCACATAGTGGTGAGGTAGGTAAAATGTGCTTCTTTTAAGTTCGAAAAATCCTTCTCTTTCCAAATGATAGCATATTCTTATAATATCATGTGGTTAGCCTAACTTTTAAATGCAATTGTACATTTTTTATATAACTTAGCATGGTCATAAATATCTTGTATCTTGCTCTTGAGAATAGCCTAATATAACTTTTTAAATACTTAATGCAAATGCGTCTTTCTCACATGATAATTATAGTTAGTACAAAGTTCATGTCTTCTTTCATATGTAATCATATAGCATTAGAACATACACATGAATGAAGTGTTAAAATCCCTTCTATGAATAAATCTAGAATGATTAAGTGTGTATGTTTGATGTGGAGTATTAATAGTAAAGGGGCTTTTCTGAGCCAATGGTAAAGGGGTTCTTCAGAGCCAATAGTAAAGGTGCTCCTCGGAGCAAATGGTAAAGGAATAGCCAATTAAAAGTGTACCTGATCAGTACAAAATAAAATGATACTTCCATGACGGGTGAATAAGATTATGTTACTATGTTATTACGCTATTATGTTATAAGTATAAGAAGTGTCAAATGAATTATGCTTGCAAAATGAAAAAGGGTTGCAAGTTTATACAAAGAAAAAGAACATATGGATGACTTAGAGGCATGTGTACTCTAGTTGATATATCATGGCATATTAATTGTTCATTCACTTAGAAGTATCGACATACATGTTATACTCTTTCTCTTGCTCCTAAATTTAATTGAATAGTATTTTAACTACTTGAGTTATGACTCACTCAACTTATGGAATATTTTCAGGGAAACCTGTTAAGCATTAATGATGGATAGACCACCGTATACTTATCGTCATAGGGAGACGACTGGTGACAGGTTCCTTTTTTGTATTTTTGATATTTTATATTAAATGGATGCAAGATAGCATGTGATAGATATATTTTTGACATCCATCTATGTAACAAACTCTTATGTACATGTTGATATTTTTGAATGAAAGAAGAAAAAAAATTACTTAGAATTTTTTAGTGGCTCTTTCTCTATGTTTGGATATACTTTAAATAT